TGCCGAGAGGGAGAAGGAAAGAAAAAGGCCCACAGAGATGGCTAGGAAAGAAAATCTGTCTGCTCATTTCCTTTGCCCTCTCTGAACAATCCTTATTCTTCTTTCTTTGCCTGTGGCCTGGGGAGGGTTTCCGGTTCTGATTATGCAGTTGATGGCCACAAACAGACAAGAAGTTGGATCTGAATGTGTTCTGTTGATTTTCTTGAAAGGCATAGAGATAGCATTTAGAAAACCCAATGGCTTTTTCTGTCTCCCCTACAAACTTGTGGTATTATTGGGGGTGATGCCAGTCAAAATCTTGACTTTGCTCCAGGAAGACAGTAACCTCAGATTCCCTTCAGTTGATGGGGAAAGCATAAACATTCCTCCAACTAGACAACCTCAAGAGACATACTACCAGGCTTTACCTCTCCAGGACACAGAGAAGAGGTTGTCTTTTTCCATCTTTTTCCAACAACAGAGTCTGCATTTTCAAAAGCGGCACCACCTTTATGACCAACCACAACAGTCGGAATTCTAAAGGTGAATATGTCATAGTACCTGCCCTCAAGAAGCTCATAGTGTTCTAAGAAAACCACAAAAACAAGTGCACTAAAATATTCCTAGTGTGATGATGGCTATTTGTGTCTAGTACAGCAAAGGCACAAAAGGCCAGCTTTCAAGGACCCAAAGGTGTCCCACAGAGGCTGGAAGACTTGAGCTTGGAAAAGTTTCTGGAACCCATGGACTAAGGCTACTCAAGACAAATCAGAACGTAGAGGTATTGGCAGTTACAAAACTGATGGCTATTATAAGAACACTATTTTAAACTTTGCTGCAGAGCTACAAGAGATAGACAAGTGGACGATGAAAGGAAGAAGGAAAAACAGCACAGAGAATAATGATAGCAACTAACATTTGCTAAACAACTGTTAATGTGCCCAAACAGTGTTGAAGATTCCCACATAGACTACTGGAGTCTGACAAACCTCACTGCCTCCTACATTCTAGGCTAAGTCCTAGCCTTCGTGTGACCCAAAGGCTAATTAGAAGAAACAATCATAAAAGCTGATATGTTAAGCCACTCTCAGATTCAAAGAGATTAATGTGACTTACCAGAGTCACTCTGCAAGTAACTGATGGAGCTGGACAGGATTCAAATGATTGTTCTCTAGATCTTGACTGTTTTCTAAAGTGTGTCACTCAAAACATAAAGAAGGAAGTCCCTACGAGTATTAATAAATCAGCTGAAGCTCAATAATCCTGTGGCCTTTGCAGGAAAAAAATGCTTCATTTGGAACAGTCGAGACAACAGCACTAACTAATATTCACTGAGCAGTCACCAAGTGCTAATTAAATATGCAAGTATCTAACTTAATCAAAATGCTAAAGCCAATATTCTAGAATTTAGATTTATCAATAATAAAAGGCACATTAGGAGCTTTTGCAAAGCAGGGCCAAAAAAAAAAAAAAAAAAGGGTCTCTTGATTCTAGACCCAGACTCAAGCATTTTTCCTTCTTTTAATCAAGGATCAATTAACTTTCTATACCTCCAGGGACTTCTTGGGATATGTAGGCTGCAGAGGAGGCGAAATATGAACTCACTGACAAACACTTAATGGGCAGAAAATCAAAGCATGAAGAAAGGCCCCTGTGTTGAGTTCAGGCCTTTGAAACTTCACTGGCTTTGAAAAACTAACACTCAGGCAGGTTGGGTGGTTTGG